CGGTTACCTTACCAGTCTGTTTTATTTTTATTTTTTAATATTCAGACACTGTTTTATTTAAAAAAACAACAATTTATTCGATTTCTTAAGATCAATTTTTGTTTACTTCATTAACAAAAAATTTAGCGAGTCAGGGGATTCGTAGGAAGATGTGGGCACCATACTTCACTTCAGTAAAAAATGATGATGTATAATGAAACATCACAATCACATGACTAATCATAATTTCGACCTCGGTCAACGTACATCCCAGTCCGTTTTGTTTTATTTTATTTTTTATATTCAGACACTATTTTATTTAAAAAAAACAACAGTTTATTCGATTTCCTAAGATCAATTTTTGTTTACTTCATTAACAAAATTATAGCGAGTCAGGAGATTCGTAAGATGATGTGGACTCCATACTTTAACTCAGTATAAAATGATGAAGTATAATGAAACATCACAATAACATGACTAATCATAATTTCGACCTCGGTCAACGTACATCCCAGTCTGTTTTATTTTATTTTTTTTATATTCAGAGACTATTTTATTTAAAAAAACAACAGTTTATTCGATTTCCTAAGATCAATTTTTGTTTACTTCATTAACAAAATTATAGCGAGTCAAGGGATTCGTAAGAAGATATGACTCCATACATCTCAGTATAAAATTATGATGTATAATGAAACATCACAATCACATGACTTTAATCTTAATCTCGTGTTAATATTGTGGAGATATAAAAGGTTTAAAGAAAACACGGCCAGTTGTGAAAACACGTTCGCGCCACAACACACAGTTTCGAGGAATGTCAAATATTGAGCAACTTTTTTTAACGTGTGTTTTAGTCATCGGCCTACGGAAACCTGCACAACAATTTCAAACTATAAAGTGCTGTCAGTATTTTTATGAAAGGTTTATCTCCTGTCCGTATATTCTCCGTATGTTCTCTCTGTTATGGGTAATGAGAACTGATAAGGTCGTATAAACCCTTCAATTTCTGTTGTTGTTTTTTTTGTAACAGCTGAACCGTTCCTAGCCATCCTGGTCCGTCTATTTACGTAACACAGTTTGTTATTCTTTCGGATGTGTGTTCGCGAGTGAGTGAACAAATGAATAACAATAGAATTAAGTCCGTGTGCACGCAATGTTTTAGTAAGATTGTGGAATAGAAATTGGACCTTGGCTTGTCCGACATCTCACGTCGAATCAGAAATTATGCAAAACACAATAAGCAATATTAAATCACGCTTTCTACAAAAACTGCATATTTTATTATGTATTTATCATACCAATGGTCAACTCCTGTAGTATAGGGGAAAAACGATTCTTAAAAAAATAATTAAATGTGCAGGAAAATTCGCTTTGTAACCTCAATAGTGGCACCCACATATTCGTGGGATGATTTTGTTAAATAAATTGTATTTTTGAGTATAAATGGACCTATGGTATATCTACAATGTTAGTTTCATCAAAAACAAATGATTGGTTAAAAATAAATAAATAATTGGGTGGTCTTGTTCATTTTGGTTTGCGGGGCAATCCTATTGTACGACAGAATGATTCAACTTTGAGTGTTTGGTATTGATGTTATATTTTAAGATTTGATCATTTATGAAAGGTTAAATAAATTAATAAAATATTGATGATATAATTATTTCGTGATCGTCGAGATGCAGTCTGGTGTGAAGTAGGTTTTAGAAAAATATTTTCTCTATCGTGCCAACGTTTCGATCTTTATTGAGATCATCTTCAGGTCCTAGGATTTATAAACATTGTTTCAATTTTACAAATACAGGTAGGATCTGTGAAAAAATCAATTTATAAAATGCTAGAAATTTTAGATTCAATCAAAATATTTGTACTCATGCAAAGCGTTTGTTTTCTGTGTAGATGTGTCATACTCGTGTTGAGAGTACACACAAGTATGACACATCGACACCGAAAACAAACACTTTGAGTGAGTACAAATACTTTGATTGAATCTAAAATTTCTAGCATTTTGTAAATTGATTTTTTTACATCTTACATGTATTTGTAAAATTTAAACAATGTTTGTAGATCCCAGGCCCTGAAGATGATCTCAATAAAGACCGAAACGTTGGCACGATAAAGAAAATATTTTTCTAAAACCTACTTCACACCAGACCGCATCACACGATCTCCAAATAATCATTAACTAACGCTCACTAAACACCACACATCGATGATAAAGGACATTTTTCTCATTTCTCCCCTCGAAAGTATGGTTTTTCAAATTTGATCGTAATTAGTGACACACAAATAAGCTTTTTATTCCCTCCTCGCACGTTTGAACCGAAACCAAAATTGCTTATAGAGAGCGAAGACGAAATAAATCCTGCGCTTCCTGAGGCCCGGTTTAGAAAATTGGCTGACCTTTCGCCGGGCACATATTTAACCGCCGAGGTGGGAAAAAAAGCTGTTAACCCAAATTCTGGAACCGGCGAGATAATATTAAGTGGGAGTAGAAAGTTTCAAGGCTCGGGATGAGGTTCAGTCGTCGGTTGCACAATGCTGCCAAGGTCAGGTCTGGTTTTGTTATATTTAGAGCGTGAGTCGGAGGGACCAGTTTAAAAAGGACAGGATTCGAAATAATGCCGAGACAAAACTTAGACCTTGTCATACCGATTATATTGTCATTCGGAGGAAGGTGGTGTTTGAGAAAACAAGAAATATAATTGTTTTCGGCAATATTATAGCACTGCCCCGGTCGATTCGAATAGGTGGGTTTTTAAAGGTGTTCCCAGAACCGTGGTGGACATCTTGGGACGGCGATAACCCTGACCCAACTCCGGTTTTATCGCTATCCTGCGATTCAAGGTTGCCAGGCCCTCTCACGCATAACTAATGGCCGGAGGGGGACTGGAAATATCCGAGCTTAATACGTAGGTACGCGCGTTCTTTGTTTTTTGGCATTTCTGTTAAAACGACTCCAGAAATACTCGCGGAAAGCTTTAATAACCACGACTATAACTCTCAACGAGCGGACTATTTGTATACAGCTTGCTGCCAATAACACGAAACAGAGGTTCCCCTTCAAACTAGGGAACTTAGCAAATCCCAAAACATCTAGATATTTTTATGAATCCAAAAATCGACTGATTAAATGAAATAAGTCAAGCTGCTGTTTTCAATACTCACGTGTTTTTGTACAGTATTTCATGTTATGTCAGTTTTATTGATTTCAATTTTGGTTTATCGGATATGTCTTTACCGTGTTTATCTGGAGTGAAGAATCTGTACTTTGGTCGTTTCCGATCATTTTGACCTGCCTCGCTGTGTTGATGTTTCTATATTTGGCCATTGGTGAATTTAGTTTATTGCCTCACACAGCTTATAACCCTGACTTCTATCAAAGTGGGCGAAATGTACACACGCAAGATAAGCAGGCCTAAATGATAGTAAACGATCGAACTACAAATTTTACTCATATTTGGTTTAATTGTTGTGTCCCCTGCCGTTTGCTCGTTTCCAATCATTTTGTCCTACCTCGCTGTGATGGTCTGTCAGACGCGTTCTGAATTCATCAGTGGTGTGTTTATTTTCTTACCTTGCCCAGCGTATAACCTGGCGAACCACTGAAGTTGGCGAAATGCCGAAATGCTTAAATTTATCATAAATAATCAAATTTTGCATTTATTCATGTTTGCACTTTTTGTTGGGTCTATGAATTCATCGTTTCTGATCATACTAGTGTTTATATTTTGAAATTCTGCTCAAATATAGCCGACTTGTCGAAATAGTAATGAAACTGAAGTTAGTACTATTAGTATAAACAACCTTTTACCACACAATGAGTGGATAATTTTCACCATTACACAGTTTTTGTTATGGCAAAATACAAAATACAGAATATGACCACAAAGCAAAGGCAGACCAAAAGAAGCAAAAACGAAAAAACATCTTCGCTTGTTGTTTAAATCATTTGTTTCGGTCTGAGGAGTGATTGATCTGTAGTGCAAATGTTGAAACTCAGAATAGAAACATGCATGTGGAACGTAGGAAAACAAGGTTGTATTATATGCAAATTTTGGAAACCTCATTGGATGCTTTATTGCTCAAAGTAATTTAAAATGTGTGGTGTTTAGTGACCGGAACATAATTATTTGGAGGTCGTCAGATACGGTCTGGTGTGACGTAGGTTTTTTTATCATGTCAACGTTTCGATCTTTATTGAGATCATCTTCAGGGCTCAAAGTGTTTGTTTTCTGCGTAACTGTGTCAACCTTGGGTCTCGTGTTGACAGAGCCACAACACTCTTTGAGCCCTGAAGATGATCTCAATAAAGATCGAAACGTTGGCACGTTGAAGAAAATGTTTTTCTAAAACCTACATCACACCAGACCGCATCTCACGACCTCTAAATAATTAATAATTTAAAATACAATACACGGTTTTTGAAATCGTCATTTCAGCATAAGATTTAATGTATTTGCAGTTAAATTACGGAGGTATACAAATTACAAACTTTTTAATACCATGTAGGAAAAGGTGTAGACACGAATAAAGGAACAGGCTGATCCTACTTTTCAAAATGCCAAAATATATTGATAAAAAATTCTGATTAAAACCTACTAATTAATTGTATATATTCTCAACAATATTTTCAAAAATCAGCCTAGTTGTTTTCATAGTTTGTTATTATTTTCTCCAGCACAGTTTTCGGAACGGTTTAACTCAAATAAACACATCTAGTCGATGGTCTCAGGCAAAAATTGGTTAAGAAATTGATCCTTCCAGCCTTGTAGGGACGACCCCATGATCTAAAAAGCGTGAAATCGAATTTCGCACAGCTGGGAGGGAGGAAGGGAGCGGAGGATTAAATTATACTGCAGATGTTCAACCAAAACCGGACAAGCGTGCTATCCGGGATGCTCTGCGTGCACAATAAACCCTCTGACCCGCTTACCGATCGGTTGTAAATATAAACATTTAAAAAAAAACTAATTGTAACAGCTTTTTTTTATAGATAATTTATATAATAAAAAAATTACCTTTATATGATACGAATTGAGCTTGTGCTTAGGAAGAGCGTTGAAGGTGCTGAAATCTTGCCGCCTCGAGAAGATTCCGTTTCCGTTGATTGCACTGTGCCTGAAAACATTTATTGATAAATTAGTAAAATTGAAATAAATCATTATAAATTTAATAAAATATTAAGATGACATAATTGGAATGCTATTAATTACAATGTTCTGAAGACAATACAGTAAATCTATCAAATGATGTCATTCCGGCAACACTAAGTGCTATTACTAGTAAATTATCGGTAATAATGCCATGGTAGAAAATCTGGTGCCTGAAATATCTGAACAAGATAAAAAAACTCGTAAATTTTGAGGAAAAATTAACTTTTTTGTGAATATGAAGGTGTTTTCCAATTGGGAAACATGTCAGGATTCGTGCTGTACGATTATTTCTTTTTAAACATTTTTTTTAAATTTATATAAACGCAAATAACCACCAGAATCAAAACTGGCTTGAATCTATTGGTATACCTTCATCGAATTTGATAAAATTGCAGAGGTTTAATTTAAAATTTTAAAAATGCGAATATGATGTTCTACGGCGATTGGTTATCAGTAAGGAACGGATTTTTATGTTTTAAAAACGTCAAAACATGTTAATAATATGTCTTTATTTTTGAAAAAATATGCATTTATTTTTAGTAATATATGTAATCTAAAATATAATACGAGAAACAAAGTAAAGTTAGTTTGACTAGAAGCATAATTTTAAAATAACAAACATAACTAATTTCATTCTTTTAAAATTATTGGGAATGATTGGATAATTTAAATTTTCAAAATTTAAATCGGCGAAGAGCAGGTTGTCTTAAATTGGATTTGAATTTGCCTTTCAAGGTGTCAGAGATGATCTTTAGCTACTTGAATTCAGGATTTTTACGTAGCACATATGCCATCTACTTTCTTATTTTATTCCTTATCAGTTGCTTCCAGTTTTTAATTGTTGATTCAATTTTTTTAAACCAAACTGCATACACTGCATTAGATGAATGAATGCCAAATTATGTATGAGTGTATTTTTTAAATTAGAACAACGTAAGTTTTGATCCAACATTCCTTATTGTACAATTAATTAAGGGTTTTGGTTGAGATAAAAAAGTCAATGGCACGAGCGGGATTCGAACCCACGATCTTAGGCTTGATACGCCGCTACACTACCACCTGAGCTATCGTGACCTCGATCCACTCGGACATCAACTCCCCATCTCAACCCAACCTTATGAATTTTCCCTCCTTTTTGCCATTTTTTTATCTCAACCAAAAACCTTAATTAATTGTAATACATTAATTGGTCAAGCGGACCACGAAATTAGTGAATTTAATTCTTTATTGTGTACAAATTCTTCAAAAAAAAAAAATAAATCCCTCTTTCTACTCATATACCCCATTGTACATACCACAGCCTGAGAAGAAAGATACCCATCTGCATAAGGTTCATTTTTTTATGGTACTTGGTGGTTTTATAAAAATATTTTTGTTTCTGCTTTTTAATTTTAACGGTGTTTGGGACCAGATTCCCTGGAAACTTAGATCGGTTGTTTTTAAAGTAAAAATAAAAAACTACACTTTTACCTTTTTTTTTAATACCATATTTTCACTCAAATTTCGAATTACAATTGTTAAATCAATATTAGAGAGCCGCTAATATAGTAAATATGTGATAAAAATATGTAAAAAATTTAATTCACCCTAAAATATCTAACAATAACATGTTTAAAATTGATTCAAAATAACATAAAACATGAATCGTAAGTTGTAATAAGTCAACTGTCAAAAAAAATGTGTACAGATAAAATCCGCTCCCTCGTTAATAGACTTTTATTCGCAACAGCAGATGCCGATATCAACCCCACGGGGAGTGAAAATGCAGGACCGCCGGATTCGAACCAAGGACCTATTCACCTTTACAGGGTTAACCAACCGTGGTTGGTCACCAGCCACCGAAGCTCCTTTATCAGCAATTTAAAGCAGTACTGAAAATGGTATCGTATGGCAAACTTTTACAATTTTCAGAAAATTCCGTTATTTGGGCTAACCCACAATTTAAAAGGCCGCATTTATGTTATGATTCGCGTTCAAAATACCACGACAGGGACCTATTTCCTAGAAAATTAATGGCAGAGCATAACAAGCAAACTTGAGGAAAACCAAATGAAGCCAGAGTTTACTAATTCAAGGGGCATAACTCATTTAAAAGCCGTATTTTGAAAGATTGTGTTCTTTACGTCGAAACTCTTTTTATATCGTCCAAGTGAAGTGTGTTTATCTTGAAAACTTGAAAAGATAATTTATAAGAGGTTTTTATAAAAAAATTTTGCAATAAATTGTCCGATCAACAGTATAGAAATGGTATCAACTCTTCCCAGGATTCAATTCGACAACCGATATACGAACTATCCCAATTTTGTAACCATCGCTGACGGTAACTCGGTGAATGTAAGTACTTTTTCGAGGATTTTATTGTCCGACCGTGGCAGATTTGCTGAGCAACCGCAGGGGCACAACATCCCGTCGGCCGTGAGTGGCCAACGTTTTGATTTGGCCCCAAGCCATTTGTTCCGCTCAGCTTTCGGAGTCGAAACAGTTTCGTCAGCGCGTTCTTTATGGCCAATTTTTCAACTTGTGTACACGCTTCCATGAAATGAGTCACCTCTGTGCTAGCCAGATTTACAAAACAAGGATTGTTTTCTGATTTGAGTCCGCACCGGATTGCACGTGTGCGCCAGTGAACAGTTTTTTTCTATCGGCCTTTTTTTGGCCGAGAGCTAAACTACCTGTTTCAGAAAGGGAAGGAAGAAATCAAAGGAAACTTATTTATGAAACAAGAACAACGCAACTTTAAATCACCAGAGAAAATTTGTTCGAAAAAATAAAAATCTTGATACAGCATACATGTTAAATCATAGAAATCAACATACAACAATGAAAAAAAAATTCTTAACCTGAAATAATCCAGCTACCAAAAACGTCCAAGAACACCTTAAGCTTATCGAAGACTAGTTTACAAAGCGGACAATACCGAATGAAGAAAAATGTCCTTAGTGTACATTCTCATTGGAAAAGTCTTGCCTCCACGGTACGTCAACAACGAAGAGATGGACTTCCGTTCAAGACAAATACTTAGAACTAGACCTAGACTGACGTGGAATCCGCATACAAGACATTAAGACAACAACTTTACTGCGACCACTCTGGACATACGGATTAGATCTGTGGGGTTCTGCCAAGCCATCCAACATCCAGCGCAACCAATCCTTCCAAAAAAATTCCTCAGACAAATCGTCAAAGTTCTCACTATCCTGTCCTTTTGTCGACGAACTGATCCGTTCCATATGCCAAAAGTTTCACACCAACCTCTCAATCCATCCTAACCCTACTGCTCGAGCCCAGTCTACAATTCCCGGAATTGAGCGAGTTCTAAGATTTTTTTGAGGTAACAAGATGCAAGTTTCTGTTGAAACAACTCAAAGCCTTGGGCGTCGATCAAAATGCGATCAATCGCATTTTGAACTTGTTCAGATATCACTTTCATCTGTATAGCACGATCGACGGAAACTGGCAAGCTAATACTTTTTCGCCAGTTTTTCATTCAACAGGCATCGATTCACCCGTTAGTGAACTTTCATCAAAACTGGCAAATTCAATCATTATCGACGATGGCTCCTTAATCCACTCACAATGAGTGCCAGCATTGGCTGGTTTCTCATGTCATGATGACTCCGGATGAAGAGCTGCCATTAGTGTTAGTGCGGTGACCGTGTTACAAAAAGATTTTCTCATCACATTTTTAATATTTAGTAATATGTCTAAGGTACAAAAATATATAAAATAAATAGTACAAATAAAAACATGAAGTAATTTGTCCATACGATACCTTATATCCAAGCATTAACTAAAAAAAAATGCTGCCTCTTAAATACTACTTGAAACGTTTGAATCATTAAATAATCCTTGAGTTGTTATCGTAAAAGTACAAACATTGCTAATTACAAAACCCTCTTTTCGCGATAGCAGCCTTATTGATATAACTCTTAGTCCACTGCATGTGCAAGTAATGATTGCTTGCAATAATAATATAAAAAATACAAAAATCACACACACACACACACACACACGTAAGAATCTAGGAAATGCAAATACAATTTTCACTTTTTGGGGGTATAAGATTTTATTTTACGTATAAGTGGCTTATTAAAATGACGTATATAGATTTTTAGTTTTTGTTAATTAAAAGAATTTTTAATACATTATCAGGGTCGATATATTTTTTTTTTTAATCAAAGAGAAAGCAGGAACATTTTATTCTTTTTAGTAAACAAAAACCTTCAAGAAAGTAAATATACGTTTTTTAATGGTTGTTAATTTGATTAACTACAGACTATTACAAAGTTAATTTATTCATTGTACCTTGTAGCTCTTGCGAAAAACCATTTCACAACATATAACGTTCTATTTTTAAAAGTCTATAAATAAATATTTGACATGCGATAAAAAAGTCGTTGATAATCAAGATAAGGAAACAAGTTTGAAAAGATAAAAGCAACACTTGTGAGCACAAGGTTATACGATTAACGAGAACTACAGGAAGGAAAAATGATTTACTTAAAAAATATAATTTCGAAATGATTAGATAAATATTAAATAATAATAAGTCTGTGTGTTATTTTTTTCGAAACGGCATACTTAAATTTTGAACAACAAGATTAAGGACTTTTGTTTTATTTTAATCAGCTAAACATAAATACGCTTTTGTGATATTATTTGGCGATTTATATGACTATTGTTTTTGAAAGGTAATTAGTAACATGAAAGTTTTGTCGTTTATGTATTTTGTCAAATGAACTAGTAAGCTTCTTTATAAGCAAACAATTGACAAAAAAAAGTTTGTACATTTAAAAAGCTGAAAGTTTTGAAGTAAAATAATATGTATTTTAATGAACTGTTGTACACTTCGTATTCTATAAAAAGTATCACAAATCAAACATAAACACTACATAAATTACGGTACAAACATATAGAAGAATTCACAAGGCCACTGGCGTTTTTAAGCACTGGCGGTAAAGGAAC